CATGCAATAACAATGATGAAAAAAGAAGCCATGGTGAGTGGTGGTGGTGCATGCCTTTAACACAGCACACTTAGAAGGCAGAGGCAGGTTGACCTCTGTGAGTTCGAGGACAGCCTGGTCTATAGAGTGAGTTCAAGGACAGCCAAGGTTATACAGAGAAACCCTGTCTCAAAAACCAGAAACAAAACAAAACAAAAAAAGAAGCTGTAAATTTTAAGGAGAGCAGGGAGGGGTATATGCAAGGATTTGGAGGGAGGAAAGGAAAAGGAGAAATTTTGTAATTAGAATATAATCTCAGAAACAAACAAAAGAAATCAAGAATAGGAACCTGGAATAGAGCTAATTGTAAAGGATTTGCCTAGAATGTACAAAGCTCTCGGTTTGATACCTAGCACTCCACAAACCAGATGTGGTGGTACATGCAGGAGATGGGAAGTTCAGGATGGTCCTTGGATACGTAATAAATTGAAGAAGGCCTGAAACATGTGAGACTCTGTCTCAAAAAGAAGAAAAACTTTTAAAAGAAAAATCAAAGTCTTAAGAGGTCAAGATTAGGCTTTATCTAGAAGCAGATGGCAGCAGGGTGTCACTGGACACTTGCCAATGCCCTGAGTAATGGGAGAGTACTGAAGGCCAGTAGGTGAGAGGCATGGCAGAGGAAGATGGCAGCTGGGTGGGATGAAAGATGCTTTACACGCTGGCAGAAGCAGAGCAATGGCCAGCTCGGAGAGTAGGTGAGGGTGGGATGAATGGAGCTGCCTGGAAATTATTAATCATGTATGGCCAGGAAGAGATATGACTGTAGGGGTTCCAGAGCTTTGGGAAGAGAAAGACCACTGTCAGGAAGACTGGAAGGTCCTGGGGACAAGGAACTGAGACTATGGAGGATAACTAGAAGCCAGAGGGACAAGACCTGGGGCCCTTTAACTTGTCCAAAGCAGGAGAAAGTAGGACTTGTCATGCAGATACAGATGTCTAAATCAGCAACCTTGGCTCTGTTGCCAGATTGTGTTTCAGATGCAGCGGTTACTGGAGACGAGTTGTAACACAGATCCTGGCTCTCCTTGGAGTATCAGATTCACCTGGGAGCCCAACTTCTGGACCAAGCAGCTGGCTTCCCTTGGTGAGCTGTGGTCTTTGGCCTGTCATAGGCAATCTGCTGTGGTTTCTAGGTGGGTCAGCACATACCTAAGAGAAAGTGCTGTCAGACTGCCATTGATCATGGACTCACTCAAGCCTTTTCTTCGGTAGAAGTGTATATGTGTGTATGGGGGGGGTAGGTGGGGTGGGCGGGAGGTAAGTCATGACAGCATGGGACTCTGAGACACCACCTGAAATCTTAGCTTCTCATTCTGTATGGATGTTGCTCCTTTTATATTGGTGGTTTTATTGCAGGGGGGAGGGGACAGCGGGGGAGAGTGACAAGACAGTGATGCTCCTTCTCCTGAATGCTGTATGACATGTTCAGGTTAACATGTCTCTGTGCTGATATGGGGCATATGTGTGTGGTACAAGCTACACACTCCTTTGGGGTTGAAGTGCAAACAGAAGATTAATGGCCTTCTGCGTTTTTCTTCTCTGTGGCAATTTCTGTCAATCAGTCTCCAGGCAGCGTGTAGAGAGTATGAAGATGTGCTTGTGTTGACAGCCTAATGGCTTCTTAAACTAACCACCAACTGCCACTTTGATTTGAGGCTGTTAATCTTATTACGATTTTTGGCAAATCAATGCTACTTGATTTGTTCTTGTTTGTTTGTCTGGACAGGTCTCAGATAGCTTAGGCTGACTGAGGGTGGCTTTGAACTTCTAGCCCTCTTGGCTCCACCCCTTTCTTGAGTGCCAGGGTTACAGGTGTGCACCATCATACCCAGTTTATGGCTCTGGGGATCGAACCCAGGTCTTTGTACATGCTGGGCCAGCACTCCACCAAGTGAGCTGTCTTCCCAGCCCCAGATTTAGTCTTTTGTTGCCCTCTTCCATCTGATTTAATTCGGCAGTTGCCCTAGGTGAGGCCTGGTGCTGAGCACTGAAGGACCAAAGGTAAATCGGACAGATCCTCTGTCTTTTTCTCAGCAAGCATCATCAAAGCAATGGGATGAAGGTGCGGTAGACAGAGAGAACACCAGATTTGATGTTCCTCACACAGGCTCAGAAATCCCAAGGGCAGTGCTGGTGTCTGCCACCAACCTGGCATGGGATCTTGTATTACACTGCCCAACATTTTCCCAGATGTGTGCCTAGAGGCTCTCTGTATACCCTTTGCTATTTTCCAATCTGCTTCCTCTCCAACCCCACGTGGATTCTTTTAGTGAGTCTCCATTGGGCTGTTAGGCTAAAGAGCAAGTGGATTTCCCAGTGGAGTAGAAAGGATGAACATCTAGTAAAAGCTGACCCAATTCCTCAAATACCTGTGGTCTCCTAAAGCAGGCTCCTGCAAGTGACCCTGTCAGCCTTGTTGACGTGGATTCTTGGAGACCAGGGGGAATAGAAGACAGCAAAGGGGGAGACAGCTCGGTCTTACCTTTGGGAATCTCTATTCTCAACCTACAGGCTGCATAACCACTGAAGGTGGACAGCTGACCCGGGCAGATGCTGCGGCTGCCTCTTATGGGAGTTTACAGGGGCAGTCATCCTTTTATCAGAGCCACCAGGCCCCCATGGCTCAGCAGGAGGCGCTCAGCCACCCCTCACACAAGTTCCAGTCTCCAGCACTGTGCTCCTCGTCTGTCTGCTGCTCCCACTGCTCCCCAGTCTCACCTTCCCTCAAAGGCCAAGTCCCCCCACCCAGCATCCACCCAGTTCACAGTTTCCGGCAGCCTTCTGAAATGGTACCCCACCAGCTGGGGCCACTGCAGTGTTCCACCCTGCTGCCCAGGGAGAAAGAGCTGGCCTGCAGTCCTCATCCACCAAAACTGCTGCAGCCCTGGTTGGAACCACAACCTCCTGCAGAACAGGAGAGTCCATCCCAGCGGCCAGGACAGCAGCTGGTTTCCCAGCCCGTGTGCATCGTCCCTCCACAAGATGTGCAGCCAGGAGCTCATGCCCAGCCCACCATACAGACACCCTCCATCCAAGTTCAGCTGGGCCACCATCAGAAGCTAAAGCTCAGCCACTTTCAGCAGCAACCACAGCAGCAGCCCCCACCCCCACCACCCCCACCTCCTCCACCCCCCCAGCATGCACCTCCACCCTTGCCTCCATCCCAGCACCTGGCTTCCAGTCAGCACGAGAGCCCTCCTGGGCCTGCCTGTTCCCAGAATGTGGACATTATGCACCACAAGTTTGAGCTGGAGGAGATGCAGAAGGACTTGGAACTTCTCCTGCAGGCCCAGCAGCCTAGCCTGCAGTTGAGTCAGACCAAGTCTCCTCAGCATCTTCAGCAAACCATTGTGGGGCAAATCAACTACATCGTGAGGCAGCCAGCTCCTGTGCAGTCTCAGAACCAGGAGGATACCCTGCAGGTGAGCTGTCATCCCAGGACTTCCCATGGCATATGGCATCCAGGTTCCTTCATCAAAGAGTGGTCTTTAGTTTAGCCCTCACATCTGAAAGCTACCCTGACTCTCTGCTCAGCAAAGCTTTGGCAGACATAGTGCATGTTCTCTATAGAGGCCTGGGCTCAGTATTCTTTTTTTTGTTGTTGTTTTGTTTTGTTTTTGTTTTTTTGAGACAGGGTTTCTCTGTGTAGCCCTGGCTGTCCTGGAACTCACTCTGTAGACCAGGCTGGCCTGGAACTCAGAAATCCGCCTGCCTCTGCCTCCCAAGTGCTGGGATTAAAGGCGTGCACCACCACCGCCTGGCCCAGGCTCAGTATTCTTTACAGTGGCCTGGCTTAGCCCTATCCCCTGGGGGATTTCATCCATAGACATAGATAGTACCTTTAAAAACAAAAAGATACTTGTGGGAGAGAAAAAGAGAGAAAAAAAGAGAAGAGGAGAAAGGAGAAAGGTGAAGAGGAGAGGGGGGAAGAGAGGGGGCAGTGGGGAGAAAGGTGAGAAAGGGGAAAGAGAGAGCAGAGTGGGTCAGTTTATGTAGAAGCTAGGGTTTAATGTCAGACATCATCTTCCTCTATTGCTTTTTGCCTATTATTATTATTATTATTATTATTATTATTATTATTACAGTCTTACAGACTGCCAACTGAACTGGCTGGCCCCAAGCCCCAGGGATCCATCTGTCTCCACATATTCCCAGCCCTGGGAGTATCGGCACCCACTGGCCTTTCTTGACTTCTTTTTATGTGGGTTCTGGAGACTTGAACTCAGATTCTCATGTACCCATGGAAAGTACCAATGTCACTCAAGCCCAACAGATGGTGCCGTCAGGGTGGCGCTTGACCTCTGCCAGAGCCAGGATAAGGGCAGCGATCTCTCCTGTGTCTGTGCAGCTTTTAAAACTCCCTTGCTGGGAGCTTAGGCATGTCTATCGGGGAAGTGGGAGCTCAAGGGTGGCATTAGACCTCAGTGGATGGCAGTTTCACAACATTCCAAGGACAGTTTAGACTTTATTTCATATCTGCAAAGCTAGGTATGTCTTTTGTACACATGCAGAATATCACATCAACAGCTGTGTACTGTAGGTGGTACCACCTGTAGTTTGTAGATGCCGAGTGGGGTTGACGAGGGCCAGCAGTTAGCCTAGAGGCCGTACAGTGTTGAGAAGAGGCACTAAGCCCGGGGCCTGGGTCTGCTGGTTTGCCTTTAATGCCACAGAGAGGTTCTAAGCTCTCCATAGGGAGTGTTGGGGTACTGAACGCTGCTCCCGCTTTCTCGCTGAAGATGACTGAGCATGGTTCTTAGCTTTGAGATCTTTGCCATTCCACATCTTAATTCTTACTTACTGATTTTTTTTCTAGATATCCTGACCCAGCCTGTTTCCCTATCCCTTGCCACATTTCCCACAGTGCTAGCTTCTTTAACTCTATGCTTACACATCTTCAGAGAGGCTCCAGAGACTTTCGTTTTATTATAAGACACAAAGCTTCACATTCATGCTTCATGAATAATGTCTCAGTTGTCAACCTGGGGTCTGGTTCCTCCGAAGAGGTGTAAAATAATCCCTGTGATGGCCGAGAAGAATGTCAGAGTCAGAGGGCCATAGGCTAACTATAAGTACAAGCTGTGTGACAGACTTAATGGTCTCTCAGTGGTAGGCTGTGGAGTGCTTGCTATCATGCACAAGACCCTAGGCTTGAGTCCTAGCACTGTAACGACTGACAATAATGAGATAAACCCAGATCCAAACCAAACTAACCAAGCAACCAATGCCAGCCAACCAAACAAGAAGCACGTGTTGTAATTTTAAAGCAAATATCACAGAATTAGCTCAAAATTCTTGGTTGGGTTCTATTCTATGTCTATGGTATTAGGATATAGTTTCAGTAAGAGTTTCTCTCTCTCTCTCTCTCTCTCTCTCTCTCTCTCTCTCTCTCTCTCTCTCTCTCTCTCTGTGTGTGTGTGTATGTGTGTGTGTGTCTGGGGGTGTGTACATGAGGGTGCACATGCGTTTCTGTGCATATGTTCATATAGGCCAGAGGTTGACTATCTGCTTTAGGTTTTTTTAGTTTTTTTTTTTTAAAGATTTATTTTATATATGTGAGTACACTGTCACTGTCTTCTGACACACCAGAAGAGGGCATCAGATCCCATTACAGGTTGTGAGCTACCATATGGTTACTGGGAATTAAACTTAGTACCTCTGGAAGAGCTGTCAGTGCTCTTAACCACTGAGCCATCTCTCCAGCCTTCTGCTTTAGTTTTTGGTTTTTGAGATAGTCTCTCTCTCTCTCTCTCTCTCTCTCTCTCTCTCTCTCTCTCTCTCTACACACACACACACACACACACACACACACACACTCCCACACCTCCAGAGAAAGGGTTTCTTTGTGTAGCCCTGGCTATCCTGAAACTTACTTGGTAGACCAAGCTGGCCTGAAACTCACAGAGATTTGCCTGCCTCTGCAGGAATTAAAGGCATGCACTACCACAGATTGGCTAGGGTGACTGGCCTATGAGCCTTTCTCTGCCCACTATCTCAGCTCTGGGGTTCATCCCCAAGTTGTATGCGGGTTCTGGGATCCGAACTCAGGTCTTCTGGTCGTATTTCAGGTACTTTACTGACTGTGCCTTTTCTCCAACTCAGACTAGTTTTCTTTTTGAGGAACTGTAAGCCATTCATGGTGTGTAAACAGCTACAAGAGGCAGAGCCCATTAGTCCCCGCTGGTATTCTCTTTGGGGAAACCCACCCAAGGTTATTATTTCTTTCCTAGGTTACAGAGGAGCCACCAGCGTCTGAGGGCCCAAAGCCAGCTCTACCTGTTGAGAAGAATACTGCTGCTTCCTTGCCCCAGACATCTGGGGAGGAGACTCCTCACAGTGTCCCTCCAGTGGACAGCACCTCCCAGCACTCTTCTCCAAACGTGGTGAGAAAGGTACTGACTCAGCCTTAACTCGGTACTTGCTGTCAGCCCTGACACCAGGTACCTAGATAAGGATGATGGGATGCAGGGAGGTGTGTCCCTGTTCCATCCCTGGATGCTACCCAGCCCCGACTTGTGCCTTTCCCCCTAAGTCAGCAAGGAAGGTCTTTCCCCATCTCCACTTGCACTCCCATATGAGCTTGCTGAGCTGTCCCTCTCTGTCTTCCTCTCCACTCTGTCCTCCTCCTAGCTCGACTGTTGTTAGCACTGTGCCATGTTCTCCACTCTAGCCTGTATCCCAGAGCCCTGTTTCTTTCATTGCCTTCCTGGGGCCAGTGCCCTCAGTCTTTTTGGTTCTCCCCCAAGTCCTGGCTCTAAAGTCCTGTTGGCTAGTCTGTACAACTCCAAGCTTGCCCATCTGCGCCTGAGCATCCCACTGGTTTGCAGCCTACTGCTGCTAGTTACTCCATGTACACCCCTCGTTTTCTCAGTATGTGTTTTAGATTAGTTGGCCTCACTGTGCTCAGGAAGAGAGTTTAGAAAAGGAAGTACTGGTAGAAATGAAGTACTGGAAGCTTCTAATGACTCTCAAAGACTGGGAAGACCTCTGATACTAGTGGACGTTGTCTATGGCTGTCCTCTCTTACCTACTCTGTTGAAAACGATTTGGTCTACATGTGCTGCAAATAGGCCCTTTGTAGGTCTTAGTAGTTAGTAACCATCTAACCCATCCATTTGTTTATTCATTCGAAGTTAATGAATTTTACATACATTCACACAGATGTACATATATGTACTCGAATTTCAAATGTTGTAGGTGCTCAGCACATACTGGTGTGTAAGGTGGTCCTTACTGTGGAGTTGCTGTCTGGTGACAGATAAACTGCCACCAATAGTATGATGGCAGATCACAGCAGTTATTGAGGTGCACCTGCCTGAAGCACTTACCTCGGAGAGAGGAGGCTGCTCCCAGGACGACACCTGGAAGTTTATTTTACACTAAGATGTGAAGAAGTTAGACTTGTTGAGGAAAGAAAGAAATGGCAGCCGGCTGTGGACAGTCAAAGCTGAGAGAAAAGCCAGGGATCTCTTAGGGGTTTTAGATGAATGGGCTCAGCAGGAGCAGGAGATGCACTTGGGAAGGGGAGTGGTTGGAAGGACTTGCCTATGATGCTTGGATTTGGAGTTCAGTATTGGGGCTGGGGTATTGACTGAAGGATTTTCAGCTAGGAGGGATATTTGAAAGGTCACTTCGTTTAGAGATCAGAGGTACAAAAGACCAGAATAGTACTGAGGAGAGAAGTTGAATGAAGTTAGTAGCTGTGGGAAGGAAGAGGAAGCCAATATTTCAAGGGCTATCAGATGACAAGAGCTTTGAATCCAGTTTCTGATCGATGACAGGAAGCGAGACAAAGTCCTTTGGCTCAAAACCCCGGTCTGTCTTGGTCCAGGGAATGGAAGCATGGGATGAAGAACATCCTGGCAGGAAGGAGGGATGTTGTTTTGAATTGCTGGTGTTCCCCCATGGCAAACACATTAGAGATGAGCCAAAGCAGCCATTATCAGTTCCCAGAATTCATCAGGAAGCCAGGGACTTGCTGGTGCTTAAGTGGTGGGAAAATCACACAGGAAACACTGCTCTCATTTGGGATGGGAGCAGGAGTGGGGGTGGGGTGCACAGCTGTGTTCTTACATATAGAGTGGAGGAAGGGAGGGAACCACATTCAAGCACAGAGTCTATGTTGCCTGTGTGAATGACTCTGGGGCTCTCTGAGTAACAAAGGGACAGTCATTCTGGGTGGCTGCAGGTTGGCAACGGAGTTAGTCAGCTCTGTAACACCTTGTTCTGAACTGTTCTTGGTCCTCATGACTGGCCTGGGCCCATGTTATGGTTTGTGCAAGGGGCAGGCAGGTGCGGTGGTACTGGTACTGTCGAAGGTGTTTTTATAAGGCTTCATGTCTGAGGCTCCCAGTAAAGGGTTTTTACTGTACCCAGAGAGAGGGAGCTTTATGTTGGCAAAGAGGCCACCATAAGGAAAAGTGCTCTAATTCAAGTGTGTGTGTGTGTGTGTGTGTGTGTGTGTGTGTGTGTGTGTGTATGTTTTGTTGTTGTTTCAAGATAGGGTTTTTCTGTGTAGCCTTGGCTGTCCTAGAACTCACTCTGTAGACTAGGCTGACCTTGAACTCAGAGATCCATCTGCTTCTGCCTCCTGAGCACTGAGACTAAAGGTGTGCGCCAACACTGCCCAGCCTGGTATTTATTGCTTTTAAACTGGGGTAGAGTGAATAAAAGATATGAAGCTCGAAGATACCAAATATTTTGAGCACCACATTACTGAATGATTGTTTATATGAATTTAAAAACAGTTTTCCACCAGTTTTTTTTTTTACATGACAATTCCACTTTGTGTCTTTGTTTGTCCTAGCAATACTATGAGGAAGCCACTTTCTTATTTCCCTTTGAAAGATGTGGAAACTGAGACACAGAGAGATTAAGTGACCCACCTAAGAGTTATACAGTATGGGCAAAGTTAGGATCAGAACACAGGCTCCTGACTGGAGCTGTTCTCAGTGACTGGGTTCAATGACTTCTCTGTGCCCTGCAGTGGGAGAAAGAGGGCTCCATTTTGGCCTCTTACTTACTGGACTTTGTCTTTGAAGTAGCCTGGGGCTTTGCTGGAGAGTCCTTAGGATCCAGCCTCCTTTGGCCTTTGTTGCCTTTGGTAAAAATGTTTGAGTCTGCAGCTACTCCTCAGCTTGTGCTGGTCCATGGGCTCCAGGGAAGTGAAATGTCCCTCTGAAGGCCCTAAACCAGAGGAATCTGTTGCACCAGGCCTTCCTGTGTGCATTCCACGCCAGCTCTGTTGCCACTAGGACTTTGATTAGAGCAGCACACCTGCTGCTGCTAAATGACCTCACAGTGAAGATGGTGCAGCTGAAGATGAGACATGAAAGCTCTAGAGCGAGTCCTCTAGAAGGAGGAGCCCTGCACTCTCATCCTGTACAGACCTTCCATACACCCAGCAGGATGTTTTGACTTTGATTCCCAGGCACTGGCTGTTGCCTAAGCTCCCTAATCTTAGTTCAGCTACTCTGAAAAGTGCCACAGTCTCAACTCTACAACAC